ATGCTGATGAGGTGGAGGCGGATGACGCAGAGGTTGAGGAGGAGGATGACCAATTTAAACCCACGAGCCACCAACGATGTTGTAATACACCCTCCCTTCAAGTTCCCTCTTCACATGCCCCATCAAGGGCTCATATTCACTGATGGAACTGCCTCGTTGGAAGACAACGTTTGAAGACCCATAAACACCTCAGGGCATCGTTCTCGGGGTGTTGTCGCCACGGATCAACCTGACTGTTGTGTCCTGACGATCCGGAATCGCGCCAGAGCGCCATCTCTGGGACGTGAACAACGCGAACCCACGTAACTGCTGCACCCTTATAATCCTGAACCCTTCCAACGTACCATGTCTGGTACGCTGATAATGTGAACCCCTTGGAACTTTGGCACATGTTGAAAGCGATTGTGCGCGGCGCTAAGGTGAGAGCCACATGTTGAACCTGAGCCGCCCTCAAACTTTGATTCTCTTGATTCGTTCCAAAAGGAATGCGCGCGGCGCTAAGACGATATCCACAGTTTGAAACAAACGGGTCGCCCTCAATCCGTGGAATCCTTACATTTTTAAGGGAATGTGCTCGGCGCTAAAGCGAGATCACAATTTTGAAAACGCTTAGCCCTCAACCCGTGAAGCTCTGACACATTGTTACATGCGCGCGGCGCTAGGGCGAGAGCCACATTTTGAAAACGCGGCGCCCTCAACCCGTGAAGCTCTGGCAATTTTCTAACAGCAATGTGCGCGGCGCTGAGGCGAGAGCCACATTTTGGAAAGGACCCGCCCTCCATCTGCCAACTGGTCATACGTGGTGAGGAAGTCTCAGGCGACCCGCCCGACCCGCCCTAGAAACTTGCCTCGGAGTGCGACAGGGATATTGTTTATAATGAAGGGATGGAGGAGGAAGATGAGGAGGAGGAGGAGGAGGAGGAGGAAGAGGAGGATGAGGAGGAGGATGAGGAGGAGGAAGAGGACGACGAGGAGGAGGATGAGGATGCGGAGGAGGAGGACGAGGAGGAGGAGGAGGAGGACGAGGGGAAGGATGAGCAGGAGGGGCAGGATGAGGAGGAGGAGGAGGTGGAGGAATAGGCGGAGGAGGAGGAGGAGGACAAGGAGGAGGAGGAGGAGGAGGAATATGATGATGATGATGAGGAGGAGGAGGAACAGGATGATGAGGCGGCGGCGGCGGAGGCGGAGGCGGAGGCGGTGGCGGAGGCGGAGGCGGAGGAGGAGGAGAGGAGGAGGAGGAGGAGGAAGGAGGAGGGTAGGCGGGGAAGAGGGGAGGAGGAGGAGGAGGAGGAGGACGCGGAGGAGGAGGAGGAGGACTAGGAGGAAGATGAGGATAAGGATGAGGAGGAGGGGGAGGATGGGGATGAGGGGGATGAGGAGGAAGAGGAGGAGGAGGAGGATGAGGACCGACAGGAAGAGGAGAAGGATGAGGATGCGGAGGCGGAGGAGGAAGAGAGGGCGGAGGAGGAGGAGGAGAAGGTGGAGGAGGAGGAGGATATGGAGGAGGAGGATGAGGAACACTAATACCACCAATATTACGACTTGTATGAATAACAAGAGTATCATGTATACGCCGAATCATAGTAGTACGACTAGTGATGAATACGAGCCTAATCATATTACGACAGACCACACGCATACTAAGATGAATCTGTAAACGAGCACTCGTCTTTTTATAATACTACCAATACGAAGAATAAATCACGTACCCATAAGAAGAAACCACACGATACTACCAGTCCGATTAATAGTACGACGCATAGGAACAAGAAGGCTATTATCACGGATGCGAGTACTAATAAACATATGGCTAATACGAATCACGCGAAGACTAATAGTAAGGCTGATACTACGAAAACGTATAGTAATCGTTCCAGAAATATTAAGAAGAATACAACTAATAATCATGCGACTAACAAAGCGAACGCGAATGGCAACCAACGTACGACTACTAATAACCATATTAATACGACGGATACGAGGCGACTGCGCGTAAGACGAACCACAAGACCAATACCACGACGAGTACTACGACTACTATTTTTGCTGCTACTACACGAACTACTATTAGTACTACTCCTACTACTACTAGTCATACTACTACTACTACTACTAAAACTAATGATGCCACGAATAATCATACTAATGTGACTACCACTCATATCAAGCATGCTGATACTACTCATACTAAACTACGAATACTACGAAACCAAGAACTACTACTACTACCACCACTGATGCCACCACTGCTACTACTACTACTTTTACTACGACTTATCACCACTTCCTACTACTACTACTACTGCTATTACTTTCTGCTACTCCTACTACTACTACTACTACTACTACTCGTATATTCACACAACTAGCACTGATAATGCTAGTGGCCGTAGTAATAGTCGTAATAGTAGTAGTAGTAGTAGTAGTAGTAGTAGTAGTAGTAGTAGTAGTAGTAGTAGTAGTCGTAGTAGTAGTAGTAGTAGTAGTAGTAGTAGTAGTAGTAGTTCAGTAGTAGTAGTAGTAGTAGTAGTAGTAGTAGTAATGGTAGTAGTAGTCGTAGTTAGTAAGTAGTATTAGTAAGTATGTCGTAGTATAATAGTATAGTTAGTAGTAGTATTAAGTAGGAGTAGTGTAAGTAGTTAGTATTAGTAGTAGTCTTAGTAAAGTAGTAGTAAAGTAGTAAGTAGTATTAGTAGTAGTAGTAGTAGTATTAATTAGTATTAATAGTAGTAGGATTCGTAGTAGTAGTAATAGTAGTAGTACTTGTAGTAGTAGTAGTAGTAGTAGTAGTAGTAGTAGTAGTAGTAGTAGTAGTAGTCGTAGTAGTAGTAGTAGTAGTAGTAGTAGTAGTAGTAGTAGTAGTAGTAGTAGTAGTAGTAGTAGTAGTAGTAGTAGTAGTAGTAGTAGTAGTAGTAGTAGTAGTAGTAGTAGTAGTAGTAGTATTAGCAGTAGTAGTAGTAGTAGTAGTAGTAGTAGTAGTAGTAGTCGTAGTAGTAGTAGTAGTAGTAGTAGTAGCAGTAGTAGTGGTAGTAGTAGTAGTAGTAGTAGTAGTAGTAGTAGTAGTAGTAGTAGTAGTAGTAGTAGTAGCATGAATAGTAGTAGTAGCAGCAGTAGCAATAGGAGTAGGGGTAGGAGTAGTAGTAGGAGTAGGCGTAGGAGGAGTAGGAGTAGGAATAGGAGTAGGGGTAGGAGTAGGAGGTGGAGTAGGAGTAGGAGTAGGAGTAGGAGTAGGAGTAGGAGTAGGAGTAGGAGTAGGCGTAGGAGTAGGAGTCGGAGTAGGAGTAGTAGTAGTAGTAGTAGTAGTAGTCGTAGTAGTAGTAGTAGTAGTAGTAGTAGTAGTAGTACATAGTAGTAGTAGTAGTAGTATCGTAGTATTCAGTATGGTAAGTGATAGTAGTAGTAGTCCGTCCGCGTGGTAGTAGTAGTAGTGGTAGTAATGTAGTCGTCGCCGTCGTAGTATTAGAGTAAGTAAGGAGTAGTAGTAACAGTAGTAGTAGTAGTAGTCGTAGTAGTAAGTAGTAGTAGTGTAGTAGTAAGTAGTAGTATGAGTAAGTAAAAATGTTAGTATTCTTCGTAGTAGTAGTAGTAGTAGTAGCTGGTAGTAGGTAGTAGGTCGTAGGGAGTACGTAGCAGGTAGTACGTAGTAGGTCGTAGGTAGCAGGTAGTAGGTAGGTAGGTAGGTGGGTAGGTAGGTCGGTAGATAGTTAGGTAGGTAGGTCGGTACGTAGGTAGGTCGGCAGGTAGGTCGGTAGGCAGGTAGGTAGGTAGGCAGGTAGGTAGGTAGTAGTACTAGTATTAGTAGTCGTAGTAGTCGTAGTAGTCGTATTAGTCGTAGTAGTCGTAGTAGTCGTAGTAGTCGTAGTAGTCGTAATAGTAGTAGTAGTAGTAGTAGTAGTAGTAGTAGTAGTAGTAGTAGTAGTAGTAGTAGTATTAGTAAGGAGTAAGTAGTAGTTTAGTAATTAGTAGTAGTAGTAGTAGTCAGTAAAGTAGTAGTAGTATCGTAGTCCGTAGTCGTAGTCGTAGTCGTAGTAGTAATTAGTAGTAGTATAGTATTAGTATAAGTGTAGTAGTAGTCGCAGTAGTAGTAGTAGTAGTAGTATAGTAGTAGTAGTAGTAGTAGTAGTAGGAGTAGCATGTAGTGGAAGTATAGTACGTAGTAGTAGTAGGTA